GTTGTATTTTTGAAAGGAAACGAGCTGATGAGTACACAGTGTGTTATTATTTATGTATTATGAATGTAATTGCAAATGTGATTGTGTGCCTGAGTTAACTCTGGATTTTGAAGAAAGTTGTAGATAGAGTGAAATATCTTATCTTTTTTGTTTTGTGTGTAATTAATATTTATTTCATTTTGTCATGTATACATGCACCCTGTGTGTGTGTGTTGGACTGATGCTACATGATATGCTGAGAATTGTGTAGAGTTTTCTCGAAATGGCTTTCAGAATAAAGCCATTATTATCATTATTATTATTATTGTAAAATCTCTACAAAGTAGTTAATATTTGGTGATAGGGAAACTAATTAGAGGATGTCAAATCCTCATGCATACACTGGTTCCAACAACAAGATTAACTAATCATTCAGGTACATGCATCTCAGGCATCCCAGTTTTTTCAAATATTTCTCAAATGAATTTTTAGAATCCTTCGAATGAGCAGTGTGGTGTGATTTCAATTAATCCAGCTGAGAAGTGTCCAACTATGCTACTTAAAACTTATCACTATCTAGGCAAAATGTACATTTTTCTGCATAAACAAGTAAAGTGGAAGATGAAAGCTGAAGTAGTGGATTTTAATGATGATATTCTTGTTTTCGTTAAAGAAAAGCAAACATTTCACTTAATTAGTTACTTCTGTTGACTTTTTTTTCCCGAAAACTTAACTTTCTTGCTTCGAGATGATTCGTTCTATATGACAAATCCTGGGAACCATATCAGGAAAAACTAGTACGTTGTGGAAAGTGTCGGTATTGCATCTGGCAAATAAATTTCATTTAAATTTGTTTTACATTTTGTTATTATTATGAATTGTGAGTTTAGCGGAAGTTTTAGGTGACAAATAGACATTTTTTATTCGTTTGTTTTATACTGGATAAATACTGAAGGTGAACTGAAAATATGAGTCGAAGCGGGTTCCCAGCTAATGTCCTTCAGGTCAGTGACCTGGCATTCTGCCAACCTTTCTACATACTAACTATGCCTCAAACTCACCTTAATCACCTAGACTTTGTCTATTTGCCATATAAATCTATAAGCAACCACTGCGTGTTCATTGCAAACATACTGGCTACTCAGAGTCAAGTCTTCTCGTCCCTATGCAAATGGAGCTGAATCAGAGGTAAACGGATCATGATTTTTCATGGCAGCCAGACAAAAGTTTGTGTGGCCGAAGTTGAGTAAAACCCAGTTAGCTGAGTTGACAGAGTGTTGAGTCCCTAAACTGGAGACCAGTGTTTCTAATTCTACAGTGACATAGGTTTTCATTTCATTTGCAATTATCACTCAGCATCATAACTTCGGTTTGTTAAACCATTGTTACTATCTTTACTATACTCTACATCTCTCTGAATGAAAATTCGTTGTTACAGGAGATACCCAGTAGTATTCCTTCTAATTTTTTCCCACCATTTAAATCACATGTTTCATGAATAATTGCATCTTTTCCACAGATGAAACCTGTTCAAGAATTATGTGCTCCTCATATTATTGGGGTAGGATGTTAAAATATTGGCAAGTGTATTTTAAAGGTCATATTGTCTTAAAAAGCAAGCTATTTTTACATTAGACTTTAGAAATCACTACATACAATTCATTGTCATAATAAAAGCAGGCAGTAATCATCTCAAAATGATACCATCTGGGGAACCATTGAAAAGTTGAAAGTAATAGACAGCTGTTTCGTCCCAGTATAGGATTTCACAGTAGTACACACCCACGACCCAGCTAAGGATCAAACTCAGGACCTTCAAGTCTCACATCGAACCCGTTAATCACTCAGTCACTGAGTCGGAGTTCAGTGGTTTACAATTTCCGACTTCTGTAAATTCGTGATATAACGTGATTATCACCCAAGACCTTCATTTAACATCCGCTTCTTTTCCAATTGGTTAACCACACAGGTCAAGGCTTCTTGTTTGCACTTCATGATATCCATCTGGAAGCATGTCACTAATGAGCACTTTACAGTAATATATTTTAGGGTTAATGGTTAATCTAATTGGCCAAATGGTTAAGGCATTCGCCGTGAAACCTGAAGGTCCAGAGTTTGATCCCTAGTCGGGTCGTGGATACATACTACTGAGGAGTCCGCGGCTAGGAGGAAACAGCTATCCAGTGCTCCCAGGTTTTCAAAAGCTTTCCAACTGATGTCAGTTCTTGATGAATACTATCTTACAATTAAAATCCCTATTAACCTTGAAATGCATTACAATGAAAGCAGTCGTATACACTAGTGATTTGAGTTTAGTATAACTGATTATTGTTGTGAAACTGCCTGGGTAAACCGTGTTAACACCGTTATGCTTTTCTGTACTATAAAGTTAGAATATAAACTGATTCGTTCAAGCATTGTTTCTTGTGTAACATCTTATATGAGTGTTTGTAAGTGATGATTCAATGTGAGAAATATTAAAAGTACATTTAGCCAACATAATTCATCAAATGTAACACATTTCTAAAATAAATCAAACATTCAGTTATCCTCAATGTATTTCCTTCATTGAAAATTATCCTACATCAATAAAACATTCCGTCGAAAAAGACCGTTTCCTAATTTCATCTAGTTTGTATTTTTACAAGTAAGAATGACAAACAAATATTCAATATCTATGGTTTTGCAGTGATTGTAAATGTACTAACGGATTAAAGCCAAATGTACTCGATACTTCATTCATTCTGCCAAGATACAACTGAAGAACAACAAAAGATCTCAAGAATTCATCGAATTGTAAACCTTCGACAAGACAGTCAACACTCTCAGAAAGACTTTGGTTCACTTAAAAGATAAACTTCCATTCATCTCCTCACACAATTGTGTCGACAGATTAGACTGTGTCGATCTATCGTGATGCTTATTACATTGAGGAATCATCCCACGACATCCTCATTCGTCCTAAACAACATGGAAGTTACAAAACAGGATCACCAAATAGTTGTGTAGAAGTAGAGTATTTCCAATTGAGTCAAATTGGCAATCGCTATTCATGTCATCTATGTCATCTATCCTAGTGACGAAACTGGTATTGAAACTATTAGGGTTGTTGAGAAATGCTTTTGAAACTAGAGGAAAGATGGGTAACTGAGGCATTCGGTTGCTCAGTTGGTAGAGCATCGGAGCGAGAACACGTTGGTCTCTGTTTCGAATCCGATCTCGGTGTAAATTTTGATTCCACCTTCAGTCGTCACCCAGTATTAATTTCACATTGTGTTGAATCCTAATGCACTGATAATGGAAAGGGGGGTCTAACTGTTCAACCGACTTGTATAGTATACGGGAATAACAGGTTGCACAGAGTAGTCATGACTGAAGTACATGTACAAGCAAAAAAACGAAGGAACGAACTGAATTCTTGTAAAATGTGCCTGTGAACACTACCCAGTCTGGCTGGCAAAGTGAGAACGGAAATGTATCTTCAATTGAATAACAGAACACCTTGTGAACTCAAGCCACTTAGCTCTTTTTGAGAGCTCATTCAAAATTATCTAGAGGTTTCGATCGAACCACTCGAAAGGAGTAAGAGCAAGGCATTTGTCTATAGCTGATGCAATAGTCATCCAAAAGTTTGAACCAGCGTTATGTGTCCAAAAAAAGTATATCGAACCTTTATCTTTTCTACAGCCTTCATAACATCTTGACTGCCATAGATTCTACCTGTATTGGATAATTTTAAATGTAATTTCATAACCCCTTGTCACCGACTTAGCCCTGTATTACGTAGTTGCAATTTTATTTCCATAATCCCCTGTTTGTTTTCCTACTCTACTGAAATTTGTTTGTTGAAGGCATATGAAAAAGAGTAGTATGTGATATTTGAATTATTAAAAGATGAGAGTATGACGGTTGGATTGATCTAAGAAACTAGTTCACTTAACCTACTGCAATGACCTCGTCTGTATGTTTACAGATGACAGATTTGGTTGATTTTATGTTTATTATTTTAGATATTGGGTAACCTGGGTGGAAGCAGGATCCCAGCCATCGATCTCCTGATTATCACGCTAAAGCCTTAAAGGCTGGGCCTAAATACCTACAGGCCAATCTAAATCTTCAATTTACTTCAACCACCAAGGCTTTATCTTACTGTCATGTAAATCCGTAATGTGTCACTGTCTGTTCTTTTTAATCAAGTCTTCTCATTTGAATCAGAGATGAATGGTCCATGATATGTCACGCAACCAGGTAAAGTCATTAAGGAATGAAGTGGACTTAAGACGTGATCAGCGGCTAGGTTTCCTATGCTAGCCGAATTGGCAGAGTACTGCGTCTTTAACTTGGAGGTCACTGTTTCAAATTCTGAAGTGATGCAGGATTTCCTTTCACCAGCCAATACCACTTATATTGGTAACATCAGTCATCAAACTATAGGTATCTCAGGTAGTCTTATTCGTATTTCAGATATGTTCATTTAACTATAGATCATGCTACAGGATTACCGATGGCCGATTCGATTTTTCTACAGCTATTCAGACTACCTAGTACCATAACCTCTTAGTTTACTTTGGTACCTTCTCGCTAGAAAGACCGTATTTTCTAAGACTTGAAAATGAGACTTTCTTCTGAGAGGTAACTTTTTCAAAAGTAGGGAAAGAAAACGGCAAAGGATGAATCGTAGAAGGACTGTATATTATGACACGTTGTACGTTACTGAAAAAATAATAACCTTCCGTTGACAGATCAATTTGCACAATGCATTTCAGTTCCTTTTGTTCTTCTTTCTCGTCTTCCTCATGATACGGCTAAGTTATTTTTGCGCTTCTCTGCTCAGAAATATTTACCCATCACTCGTAATTGCCTATGACTTCTTCCAAACTCTCAACACATACTACTTATATTCATCCTTATCAGTAGTACCCACTACAGTGGGACAGTTTCGGTCAAAATATTAACATTGAGCAATTTTACTCATGGATAATAGGGTAGAAATTGAGAAAAGTAATTAAAAATTAACCTACCTCAACAATTTTCAAGCTGAGCCTTAAAACATTATCTGGATCACGTATACTGAATAAATATAGACCATGTTGAATAGCTGTTTTATTCGGTTTAAATATTAAATGAATAAAGAAGGTCTCATCTGGTAACTTCGATTGTGGAAATAAGCGTAATGCTGGTACACTGTATAATAAATCTCCTGGAGGTGGCTGAATTTTAATTGGAAAGTCTTCATCTGCACGTGCTATATCATAACGACGATTTAATAAGTAGGTTATATCCCAGTTAACACCTAAGTGATAAAGTAAAAAATGATATACACTGAAGAATCTAGAGATAAACTGGAATGAACAAAATTTTAATTAAACTTAAATGTGTGAAACATTCCTGCTTAACATCCAACTAAGCTCATTTTACAAGTTGTAGCGTCTTTAACTAGCCGTGAAATAAATAGAAACATGATACCCTATTATGCATGTTCTTCGCTATTTGTGTTCCATTCTATTTTTGTGTCTCGTCAAAGTATTCAGTCTCCGCATCTTCAATAATCTATCTTTGTATCTCATAGTCTCTCAGCTGGATACAACTTCATCTCAGCGACTACTGTTGTTCCTACTGAGATTCGAACCATTCATCCATCACTTCAAACGTGAGAGAGTAATCCACCACACCAAAAGTGCACTAGAACCAGTGGCCTTAACGGTAAAGTATACAACAGGATAATGAACATTGGAGTAGTATCGAGGCACTCCCATAGGAGTCCATCCATCAACAGAGGTCGACCAATTCGAGCCAGTGTAGAAACGGGTAATTAAAAGTATGAAAAATGATAAGATCGGTTTTTATCTTCTTTAGCATTTAACGGTTCTATAGTGAGTTCAGGTTATTCATCTACATTATTCATAAACTCCCGGAGAATGGTTGAAAAAGCAAATTTAGATCAATCAGTTTCATTTGATGACATTAATATGAACTGACCTCATTTGAAGAAGCATTAAAAACCTGGAAGCACTGGAGAGCTGTTTATTCCTAGTGAGGAACTTCTCATCAGTGCCACCCATGACCCCAACAGGGATCGAACTCAAAACCTCCAAGTTTCGTGATGAACACTTTACCATTGAGTCACTTAGTTGGGATTCAGTGGTCCGTATTTTTCTACTTCTGTCATCACACCCAACTTGGTTGACCTCACAGGTCATTAGGACTTCGGGAAATCTCGTCTTGAAACATGTCATTAGTGACGTAAGCGCAGACTATCAAGGAGTTCCGTACTAGGAAGAAACAGTGCCCTCAGGTTTTCAATGGTTTTTTAACTGATGTCAGTCCATCAACAGTTCTGACTTTATAAGGAAAATTTCATGTCAAAATGAGGAAATTTACATATATTGTGAATTCAAGATGAAAATAGCCAATTTGATTAAAATATCTCAGTTACATAGAGGGTGAAATAGTGAAAAAAGGATCGAACACCTACGGGAGAAGAAACGAGGTCGCCATGAACTTATCAATCAAAGAGAATGCACTGTAACATTTCTGTGTAATACTGAATTTTGTTGGAAGCATTCTCAAGGTATACACGAAAACTGTTTCAGCTCTACTTCATCGTAAATATATATTAAAGGTGATGCATAAACTAATGTTCAATTCCTTTGACATGGAAACTGAAATTCAGAAAGTAATCAGCCTGCCATAACCTACTTGACGTAGACTGTGACTATCACCACTTTGTGAAGTTGCTGCTTTACATAAATTTACTAACAATACAAGTTAGGGATTGAATATTTCCACTAAGAATTTGACAAGAAAATTTTAGTAATATTGTTCAATGCACCAATGTTTTCAGGTTGATTAGTGTTCTGTTCATCGAAATCTTGAAGTAAAAATCTTCTTCGCCATTTATTCCCCTATATTTTTAAACTTAATATAACCTCCAGATGATACTAAGGAGGTATTTTAAAGTTCTTTTCATCGACTGTACAACCACTAAGTGGGATTTTAAGGTAGCAATATCATTCGCTCTTGAAATTAATAAAAAACCTTTGTTCAGAATTATGATACAGGTATTTTCATATTTTCATAAAGAAGTGAACATTCATGAAGATGCTTAAATCTGGCTACGAAACGTTTGAATAGAAACCTCAAAGCTGAAGTTAATAAATAACTATTACGCTTGTCCTTGGCTGTAAAACTTTACTTTTTAAATGTTATACTTTAAGGGAATAAACTGTTACGGAGTTTCGAAAATGAACTAAATTTTATATTCTTCTACTACAATTAGTTATTGGCACTCATTTGTACCGATCATCGCTGATGATTTATGTCTAATTTCGCACAAACTCGAAAATCTACAGGCGAAAACTAACAAGTTGGCAGAAGAAGCGAGGTGACATAGCGAAGGAAGACGGGACTTCCTTCAAGTGAACGTAGAGAAGACAGAGGTGGCAAAGATAACCAACCAACAACAACAATAAGCCCCGATCACCATCAATAGGAGAAATCTAAACGAAGTTGTCAATTTCACCCACCTACCTACCTGGGCAATATAGTCTTAACTACTAGCGGCACAGACACATATACGGATGTCGAAGTCAGCCAGGATCCGAAAGACAGCAAGACACGCCTTCTTGCATTAATCCGGAATAGTCAGTGTGGAAATCTACTGCACTCCACTCCACTCAGCATAAAGCATGAACAACATCCGGATTTTCAACACTAATTCAGTCAAGTAAGTCAGTGCTATATGGTTGACAAACTTGGCAGGTCACCAAAAGCATCTCCAACAAACTATAGATATACATCACATGAACAGCTACCGCCTACGCTCACTCAATACTGAAGATCAAATCAGGTGGTCAGAAAGAATAAGCAACAAGGAAATCACTGTGGCTGACAATGAACCAACCAAGAAGTTATCGCTCAACAAATATGAGGAGGAAGAATGTGGAGATGGATTGTATTGTATTGTATTGGATTAGATTGGACACAGATTGAGAAGATGGTTTGGGTTATCACGCATCAGGCTAGACCAGGCCTGGCCAGGCCAGGTCGTCGAGTAGAACCCGAATGGAAAACGACGAGTTGGGTGTCCGAGGCGAGGTGAGGGTGACATGGAGGAGATGGTGTGAGGAAGAAATGAAGGCTTGTGGGCAGTGGTGCAGCCAGGTTAAAAAGAAGACTGCGGAGAGGAGAGTGCAATGGAGATATGCTACTGAGGCCCTATGTTCCACTATGAACCCAAGGGACAAATAAATAATAATAATAATTGGCACCAATCAACAGTGCTTCCTAAACAGACTGGAGTAACTGCAACAGTGGACAACTGCTCTAATAATTCTTTATTAGAGTAGGTCAAGTTGACCAAGTTTTTCTTCTTCTTAAAAAATTCTAGACTTCAATTTTACAATTTATCTGTTTTTATAAGATAATTTGCCCATAGATATCTATGTCATGCTTACATTCACGATCTGTAGTATAGTAATCCACATTTCTGATTTCACATAATATATCGACATATTTTCTCATCTATAGATAGAAACAAAAATACACTGGGAATCGGACACAATTATCTGCTACAATACATTCTATCACAGTTGTTTATAAACTGATGACTATAATGTGTTACCTGCCAACTACTCTATAACTATTCCAATAATCGGAACAGAGTGAACTGAATATTAAACTTTTTCCTACACATTACAGTTACGTGTACAAAATTAATCCTTTATTTTATGTTTCATTTGTTTAAAAAAAAGGCGACGGATAGGATAAGAAGTTATAAACATTGGGGTCAACCAAGTCGGGTGAGAGGACAGATGACGATGGGATTGGCTGGAGGTCACACTATCTTGTGAACTGAGAGAAATAGGAGATGTGGACCAGCAAATGTCGATCCAGTGGCTCAATGGTAATGTGCTTGGCGTGGGACCTGAAAGTCCTGGGTTCGATTCCTGGCGGGTGGGGTCATGGATTTGTACTGCCGAAGAGTTCCATATTGAGACTAAACAGCTGTCTAGTGCCCTCCAGTTTCCAATGGTCCTCCAATTGAAGTCAGTACATGATGATTACCAATCTGAAATCCAAATTAAACTTAAGACTGCCAAAAATGTAGTAGCAAACTTCAAGTCTCTTGAAACACTTTATGAAAAACAAAGTAGATGAAGAAAAGTCGATGTTCTTTACTTCTATCAGTCAAATATTGTTGCATTCGGTAGTTATGAGACTTTTTCCTTAGGAAAAGACAGCATGTGACTGTAACCAGGAGAAAGTTTTCTTTCTGATCAAATTATTCGCTTCACTGTACATTCATGAATGTATAGTAGAAAGGATAGATTATCCCAGAGTAATTTCCAGTCAGAGGTCAATAGAAATTGCATGATAGAGGAAAGTCACGCAATGCCTATAAACGATTAAAGTAGGTAAATAAACAAAATGATGACCAAATAAAAAACAGTCACATCATAAGAGAATCATGTGGAGTGGTTGTTTCCCTATGATGGTTATAGCAAGGAAAGAGGTTGTTCATACTTCTTTTGAAGTCATAATGATAGTTTAGCTAGGTATAGATGTCTTAACCTTACTTCTTTTGAGTGACTTATCAGAGCAGCCAAGTGTCTTGAACTTACTGAGTGATCTGTTACAGAGCTACAGATGTATTTTCTTCCTGTCATTGTCAGCCAGGTTGAGTAGTGTTTACGAGTGCATCCCATAAGCTGGCTCACAGTCCGTTCCATATACTCGACCCTGAAGTGAATCTGATTCTCTTTCATGGATTAATGATTTTCTCCTGCTAACTTAACTTAGTGACTGTTAGCTTATAACTAAAGTTAGTAACTGTAAGAAATCAAGGAACAGTTTTGGACTGTGTATAAGGCTAAAAAACTTAAACATGAATGAATATAGAAACTTTCTGTCAAACCAAAGATCAACGCTTGTTATAAACCAGTTTGTGAACCCTAGGAAGACACTATTATTCAGGTTTTCTCCATGAAATCCTTTTTCACCTGGTCTTTACTTGCATTTATTGACAAGCGTAAGTGACTGTTTGACGCTATCTGTTACGGGCTATTCTTCATATGATTATACGGTAGAAGGTGTTAAAAATCTTCATATTAGCATTCAACGATGTTCTTCCGATGATATGATCAAATTGATGGTATTCAAAACATGGACACAGCTTCAGTGTGGTCATAATCAAGACAGAAACTTAGAAATACTCTAATGAAGTGAATATACACTGTTGTAACCTCAAGCAGTTTATTTATATAAATCAATTTATACCTTTTCAAACAAAAT